GGAAACCCTAGGGAGCCTTAAACCTTAAACCCTGTTCGAGAGTTTGTAGGCCCTAAGCTGTTTCGGGGTTTAGAGCAGAGTTTGGGGGGGACGATGAGAGTGACACGAGGGAGGTCTTGTGGTGGTTGGCACAGCGTAGCAGCGGAGCTAATCCAGGGTCTACCTTTTTGAATCACATATCCTACACCTTTTTCACAGTACCTACGTATATATATATATATANNAAGGCCTTAGCCAGAAAGCTATAGCTAGGTCCCCCCCATTCAGGGGTAGGGTATGACCTCTAGGTTGGGTTGTAGGTTTCGGCAGGGTCTTGATGACTAGATCAGGGTGTCTAAACAGGGTTTTGCACTGCAACGTTTGACCACAGGATTCTGATGTAGGCAGGGGCTGGGTTTAGGGTTTGGGGTGTTTCATACAGGTCGATTATAATCGGAATAGGGTTCCTCAGAAGGGTTTCTTTAATGGGTTATGACTTGAGATCTTGGCAGGGCCCTCGCCACTAGGGGGTTCGGATGGTCAGGTTTAGGTTGTGCGGTCTTACAGGACTACAGAAAATATGTCCATCAAGCCAATAGCCTGATGCCTTAAACCTAAACCCTAAACCCTCCTTAAACTCTTGACTCGAGCCTGTTATGTCCAAAACCCAGAGTCGTTTTGTTTCAAGTCTGTGTATGCATGTAGTAAGCAGCTGCTGTCAGGAACTCAAAAAGCACCCACACATAAACTTTTGAGTGGGATATTCCTACTTGAAGACTGGATCATGGAATATCTCATCCTTATTGTTTTTGTTTGGGAGCCTTCTTGGGTCCCTCTGATGTGCACGCCAGGGGAATGTGCGAGAAACAAGCCCGGCGCGATTTAGGGTCGAGGCTTTAGCGTTTAGGGACACTGAACTACAAACCATTACTTGGGTGTCCATGGGACTTTCAACGAGGGTTATAAATCAGGTAACTATACTTGTAGCTAGGTCTAGCCCCAGTCACGGAATAGTACGGGACCCGAAAAGGGACCCTAATTTCGAGAACCACCCATCTACTGTATCATGTAATAACATCGACCTAGAGACGAAACGCCCTTCAAAACCCTAGTGAGCCCTACTACGATTAGGTTTCAGGGTTTAGGCTTTAACATGTAAGGTTAAGGACACCCGCTCGTAAAAAAAGACTTTCCAGCCCCGACAAGTCCTCTCTTGGACCCTTATAGCAACACTTACTACAGCAACCCTTATTGTAGTTACCCTTGTTTTAAGACCCTGGTAGTATCCGTATAGCAACCCTTACGATAGTTATAAGTTATACTCTCTTATAGCAACCTTATTGAAACCCTTATAAGAGCCCTCATGGTAACTCTTACGGTGGGTCTTCCAAGCCAGGAGGTCCAGCAGTTCAAGACGCAGCGGGTGAGCAGCAAGTCCTCCGTTGGCCCGTTCTCAGCGACGTTCCTTGGCTTTCCCTT